CTTGAAATCACTTACAGGAAGTGACGTCATCAACCGGAAGTGACGTCATCAACTGGAAAGTGACGTCCTGAACTGGAAGTAACGTCCTCAACATGAAGTGACGTCATCAAACAGGAAGCGAAGTCATCAAGAGGAAGTGACATCACAGAAACCGGTGAAAATGAGATTCAGTCAAATAGACTATTGTAGAACCGGATATGAAGTCTTGGACCAAAAGTGACGTCACTTACCTCTAGATTATGGGATCTAGTGCCCACCCTACCCCCCCATGAAGAGATGCAGAAGATGTCAGTTTTCTTCAGAAAAATCATGAGAGGTTTTCAGCAACTATGTTGTGACGTCACAGCTAAGGGGGATAACTGTATAACTCTTTAAGCATACCACTAGGGATAGCTATGACTTAGTTAAAATTTTCATTTCCATTCTGTATGTGTCTGTGGGATCCACAGGAATAAGGCAACCATAATCCAGAGGTAACTTTACTAATAATTACTAACAATACAGGTAATTGTTCCTAATTTGGAGCGGCACACTGGAATGAACTCTTGAACCGTATGGAATAGACCGATCCAGTCTGTCAATCAAAACTGGCGCATGCGTCAATTTTGGCCAATCAGCAGGCCGGGCGCGCTGTGTGGATTTGTCAGACTTATTTCCGGGGTCAAACAATGCATCCGAAGCGATGTGCTTCGAATTATGCCATTTACACTCGCTATATTTATTACATATTGCTGCGATTTAATGTGTACCTTAACAAAACCATTACGGTCAAGACAACAAAAATGGAGGCGGATCAAGAAACGCGAGAGGCCTGACGATCAGTTAAATGTCTGCACCATCCTTCAGGAAACCTACGTCTGCCTGCTGATGAGAATTTGCACGAATGTCCACACTTTTGCACATGTGCAAAATCATTACCAATTGATGACAACAAATAGCAGTTTAAGACTTTGCAAGTGTTATAAACACGGATAATTCTTGTAACTACAAAATTGTTTTTGCTAGCAGCTTTTAGTCACTACTAGGCATTGAGTTGGTACGCCATAAAGCTCAAATGAGACAGGCGAGAAAGCCGTGACACAATGTAAACAAATCTTCATTTCGGTTAGGGTCAACCGAAATAGCAAAACTTGTTACATGAAAGAACAATGTGGCGGATATTGTCCCATTAAGCTCTTAGATATTCTTCAATTTGTCACACATTTTAGGATGTTTTAAGTTTCCTAAGCACAATCCGAGGCCTACAGCATCTTGTTAACAGAGCAAAATATTCGAGGAGTAATATTTTTATTCAAGCGGAAATATTGTTAGTGTCAGCAGTTGCCTATCATGCAATATCCAAGTATCAAAATTAGTTCATATGAGTGCCTATAAAACCATGCTTTAAATATTTCAGATTTTGTATAAAGAGTTGCATGGGACTTTGAACTGAATTACCTTCCTCCAGGTTGATCGAATCTGAAAACTATGTGAGAAGAATAGTGACTTTCTGGAGTATTGGACGGAGTGAAATAAAGTGTATATCTTAATTATGAGAACATTATTTGAAGTTTTGTTACCACATAAATTATTCACATATAATGGTACATTTTAGGAGTAATATTACAACTGTAATTTTGATTAATTCACTGGAAATGATATCAAGGTATGTCTTAAGAATCTTTCTTTTTTTTAGTAAGCGTGGAAGGGTAATAAAATTAATAATAATCTAATCAATAATAAATAATTATTTAATTGATTGACATATCAGATTTTTGATTTTAAAGGCAGAACTAGGCAAACAAACACCATACATATCATGGCAGGACAATCACTTGGTATTAACTTAGTTTCTAGGCTCCTGCTTAGAGATGTTTTTGTAAATACTACATTTACTAATAAGATAATTCTGAAAGTGATTGCTAGTATCATAACTCATTAAAGTTATTTCAACATCGAGAACATTTGAAAAGCAAAGGCTACGTTTTGGTCAAACCCTGGTCAGGCATTATGTAGTCCTGGAACAGAATAACTTACAAAAATCTCAGGTGACTTTTCATGTAGCGGAATAAAGATTGAAACATGTATTTAACCCATATTTGATGTAATTCTTCTTATAAATCATAAGTTTTTAGGAGGTTACTAATATTTGAAGAATGAGCCAAAGCTAGTGTTTATTAAGATGGTGGATTTGGACAAATTGTTCAAGGTTTGTTGATGGTTATTTGCAAAATGAGCTTCATATTAAATTGCACACTGGTTTGTAGGAGGTGAGGCGCTTCAGGACATTTTCATGTCTGTTTTCCTAAACCTTTGTTATGACTTTTACCAAATTTTGAATCAACTTTACTATAATTTTATGACACCAGTAAGTATCTCAGAAAAGGAAATAGATCAAAATCAGTGTTATGTCCTCTAGGTATTGTCTCAGATCTAATAAAACAAAGATTATCATTGTTTAATTAAGAAGCAATAATTGTATTGACAGAAGGCTTTGAACATAGGATATATTCTTTGCACCTTATTTACACTAGTAGTTAGCAGTTAAACATCTCTGATGAAAAACAATAGATCTACATTTGTATTTTGTGTAACATTCTATTTCAATGCTAGTTAATTGTTAGGATAACTGTGGATTCTCTGTTCCAAGATTTTGCATCACATGTTTCCTATTTCTGGAAGATGGGTCAGCTAGTGTACAGGTGCAGACTGTATCTTGGATCTTCTTTGTGTTCTGGTGCTGTGACATACCTGTACATAAACGCTGGCAGTTCATGAAGTCCAGTATTGTGGAAGTTTGTATGTAATTTAGGATTCCACAACAAAGTACATATAGAAAAATTAAATGGAAATGATGATTAAAAAAATGATTTCCTTATATTCAGTGTCATTTTATCATGGTGTACAGATTTTGAAGAGAGAAACTTTACTGAGAGTTGCTGCAGATCAGCTGTTGAATATTTGCTTCTGGGTATGTCCAGATACGTCCATGGAAACATATTGTTTACAAGCCCAATTACTTTTTCCAGATTTCCAAATAAGATCAAATAGGTCATGCTGTGATTGATTTGTTTACATCAATTGTACAGACAAATAAATTGCATGAAGTAGTAGGCGGAAATATTTTCTGCTTTTTATTTACCATTCTCTTAATTCATTAAAAGATAGAAACCCATGTTTTCAGATTATTGAACTACATTTGAACAAGCATAAGCGGATAAGCAAAGCGCACTGCGCAGTGTTGATAATCTATTTATAGATACGAAGCGATCTGCAACATGAACATGTGGTTGTGTTCCACGAGTTTTAAAAATTATAAACCCAAACAACAAAATTCAGTTATCCTTTCCCTGCTAATATCTGTGACGGAGGTGAATTGCCAGATAGATTAATCGATTCGAAAGAAATTACGCTTCCTACAGTCTCAGCAGCTAGTCGAGACGCTTTTTCATCGGGCATGTAACTCATTTTCACTCGCCAGGTGTAATCTGCCAGCTAAAATATATTAAAAATCACATACGTATAACTTGCCTGTTTAAGTAACATTCACAAACGACGGATACCAAAGTATCACAAGCAGAATTCATCAACAACGTTCGCAATCACGTAACGTTTCGCTGGCGGTGACGCCATTGTGATTTGCCAGTGGTTGTCCCCCCTAATGTCAAAAACGAAGTGGGCGGGGCTTATCGGCCGAGACTGGATCGGTCTATTGGTGCACCAGACTGAAGTGCTGAACTGAACTGAAAGTGTGCACCATGCTGGAGCGCCGAATCAATTGGTCGAGCAGAACTGGGTTGATGGGTCGAAATAAAAGGAGTTGTAGAGCTAATCGAAACCGCCTAACTGGAAACCATTGCTGGAGTCAGAGGGATCCACGCTACAATAAGTAACTGTAGAAATGGTGATCGCCAAACCGGAAAAATAGGGCACACTGCCACTAGGAGCTGATACTGCCATTCCGGGTGATTAAAAGATCGTCACGAGACTGGAAAGGCGATGTATTAAGCACCAGAGAATGACTGTAGTGGAATGTCATGTGACTGTAGGGGTGAATTGAGTCCACCTACTTGGAATCAAGTTTCTTCTTCCAAGCATTAGTCATCTGCTCAAAGAAGGTCACTTAGAGGGTGCACTGAGGGCTCCTATCCCCTTGCCTACTGATTACATTTCTGCACCTCTACATGTCAAGAGTTGAGACAAAATGGTCTTGCACTTCATACACTCTATGTCCTCAACATATCATTAATTAACTATTTATGTGATCAATCCAGATTAATCAGCCAAATCAATCTGACACGAAGTATCTAATGGCATCAAACAGAAAATATATAGACTACCTACAGTGTCATAAACTGCTAAAATGTACAAGAAAAAAATATTTTTTCAGATGTAGACTGCAGCATATACAGAAAAGAAGAAAGATCTGCCTTGCACAGGGCAGAGGCACTGGGCAGTAGAATATTATTATCTACTCATCTGATAATGGTTAGCTGAAAGTGAAGAGTACTTCTTTTGAAATCTAAAGACTTTTATTGTGTAATGGAAGTTCAAATAATACAGAATTATGGCAATGAAGTAACAGAGGCAGGATTTTGAGGATTTATTTGAGATTGGACCTGACAATCCAGTCACTGACATCATGAGCATCAATCTGTGTAATTTGTATATGGTGACCGGCGTTAACCAATTCAGTGAGTCTGATTGCCAAATGCCATAGGATGCCTATACATATGTATGTGTTGCTGGAGACAAATTCTTACCCAGATGTTTAAGGGAGTATCTGTAAGAGATGTGTTGCAAGGAAATATGATTCAGGTAGGACTGGTTAAGTAGTATATCAAATCCTTTGCTGGCTAATGATGTAGTAGTATACAACAGGTAAATATGTAAAATTTACAGGGCAAGAAGCAAAATTTGCACAAAGGTTGTATTAACATAACAGATATTTAGGGAATACACATTTACAAATAATTTTGAAATTTATAAATATCATTCACATGCAACTTTCAATAACTCACCCGTAAACCCAACTTTGATCTAGATACTACTTCCTGTTCCCACAATCCTTTAGAATCTTGCACTTCCTGCTGCAGTACTGCACGGTTTGCAATCTCCTCCTAAGGACAGTTACAAAATCAATTAAGATCTACCAAGATAAACACAAATATATACAGCATCACAATCACAGCAACAAAGCAGAAGCTTTTGCATTTAAGAACCTACTTTGGTCAAGCAGTATTATCAAATAAAGGAAAAACTACAGTGTGATTACTCATGGGTAGTATCAAAATTTTTGTTCCATCATATACTTCCCATCAAAAGTTTAGACTCACTGGTGTAAATACTGTATAGCCACTTACTTCAGGCAACTGTGCTAAACTGAATTTTTCAAAATATTCCATACTGTTTAAAGGTACTGTTTACACATGAACTGATGTATTGTAAAACAAATTCGTAACATTGAAAAGATTAGTCATGAGTTCAGTAAATGATAAAAAGGGTGACGTACTAGAAGCTGTAAAACATCTTAACAAGAGTCATCAGTAGATGACATATCCCCCCTGGCCCCCACATATTTGAAAGAACAAATCATCTGACAGTTACATAAAGTCCAGCTTGATATTTTTTAGACTAAGTCCGAATCGTTTCCATAGAAACCGAGAAAAATAAAAATGACAAAAAATCTGTAAATAGCAAAAGGCACCACTTTTCGATCTGTCTCATATATCTGCCAAGTTCTGTTGAAAGATATTGAACGGTTTTCAAGTTGTGCTCCGGAAACGAAGCCCTGTTCTGTTTGATATATCTACCAATTTTTGTTGAAAAACATTGAACGTTTTTTTAATTATGCTCTGAAAAACAAAATGATTACGCACGGACGGACAGACAGACAAGGTGTCGACTATATCCCCCAACATTACATGCCGGGGGATAACAATGGTAAAAGCCTGGGATCTGACGGATTCACTGCCGAATTTGTTAAAAAAAAATTATATGACTTTGGAAAATACTTGATTAAATCCCTTAACTTGCATTTACAAGCAGCCAACTATCAATATCACAAAGAAGGGGCCTCATAACGAGCATTCCAAAGGAAAACAAACAGAAACAATTTTTGAATAATTGGCGTCCAATTTCTCTTTTATCAATCTTTTATGCCTCTATTGCCATTTCCCATAGAAATCAAAAGATACTAAAACTGCTTATAAACAAAAATCAGAAAGGATTTATGTCTGGCCGATACATCGGAGACATAACCAGGCAGATATATGACATGATTCAACACACAGGAGATCATCAGATCCCTGGCTTATTACTCATGGTAGTCTTCGAAAAAGCATTCGATACAGTTGATTTGAATTTGATTGAAAAAATACTGTCCTTTTTCGGTTTTGGAGACTCAATAAAAAGATGGATAAATACCTTCTATAATGGAATAGAATCATGCATTCTAGTGAACGGTTTTACCATATCCATAGGATGTCGTCAGGGAGATCCATTATCTCCTTATATATTTCTTCTTTGGGTAGAAATTTAAGCAATACTTATTTGGAACAATAAAGACACCAAGCACTGTCACTAAGGTAACATAATCCCCCGCCGCAAATTATCAAATCAAACTTATAAAGTAATGAAAGTTTAAGTTAAATGTCAACAAAAACATGACCAGTCAACCTCTTTTGATATCTTGCTCTTTAGATGTTCAAACACACACATATTTTCAAGACTGACTTTGACCTTGACATGAATGTCATAGTGTTTGAAATATGCAAAATAGTACTAAAGAAATTGCTTATTGAAAAACATTCAAGGGAAGTCTTTAAAGTCTGAAGAAATTCCAGTGAACCGTTCTTGAAATATCTTGCTGACAATTCGTGTTAACATGCTGAAATCTTCAAAGTGTCGTTGTGACGTAGAAAATTAAGTGAAGGTCACCAAAATCGACTGGGCCCTGCGCCTTCCCTGGATGAAGCCTGGTGTCAAATATGATGAAACTCCAGTGAATGGTTCTGAGGTATCTCGCTGACAAGCATAACCTGCAGGTTAATATGCTGAAATCTTCAAAGTGTCTCTGTGACCTTGAAAATTAAGTGAAGGTCACCAGAATTGACTGGGCCCTGCACCTTCCCTAGATAACGCTTTGTATTGCATATGAAGAAAATCCAGTGAACAGTTCTTGAGATAGCTTAACATGCAGGTAAAACGTGAAAGTCCCCTTGTGACCTTGAAATGAAGGTCAAGGTCACCAAACCTGACTTGGACATTTCTTATACTGTGATGAACATAGGTACCAAATATGAAAAGAATCTAGAAGATATTCAAATTTGTACGGACGGAGCCTAATACTATATCGCCCGCTTCGCGTTAAACGCGCAGTGGGGGATAATAAACGGTATTCAAATTGGACATGGAATATCTTCTTTCTCAATATGCAGATGACACATCTTGTACACTAAATGGGTCTGAAAGATGCCTCTACGCAGTACTTCAAACTTTCTCTTTTCTCTCATTTCAACTCGTTTCACTGGTTTAAAAGTAAACACTGATAAAACAAAACTTATATGGATAGGTTCAAAGAAAAGATCAAAATGGAAATTATGTCAAGAATGGAACCTAGATTGGAAACAAGAACCTTTTAAATTGCTTGGTATTAAGTTTTCCTTGAATTTAAATGAAATGATCCACCTGAATTATGAAAGCAAACTTAGACAATGTGAAACATTAATGGCAATATAGTCAGCCCATAACTTAACATATGTTATATTTGGGATTACACTTTCTTAGTAAAGTACAGTTTCTAGTACTTTTTGGGTTGAGCCCTCATCCGGGATTCGAACCCACACCCTCAGAGTCAGGCACCTTATCGCCAGCACACAAAGTCAGACGCCTAGACCGCTCAGCCACCGCGGCACCAGTTCACCACTAGACCTACCTATGTATGAAGTTTCGTGATGAAACAGTGAACAGTTTTTAAGTTCTGCTCCGGAAAAGAGCACTACCACCAATTTCAGTCAAAGTCAAACTTGTTGCCATGGAAACGAAAAAAATATTTTATTCAGAAATCAAAAAATACCAAAAGGCACCAGTTCACCACCAGATCTATCTATGTGTAAAGTTTGGTGAAGAAACATTGAACGGTTTTAGAGTTCTGCTCCGGGAAAGAGTACTACCACCAATTTCAGTCTAAGTCAAACTTGTTGCCATGGAAACGCAAAAAATATTTTATTCAGAAATCCAAAACTACCAAAAGGCACCAGTAGACCACCAGATCTATCTATGTCCCAAGTTTGGTGAAGAAATATTGAACGGTTTTAGAGTTATGCTCTGGAAAAGATGTGCACGGACGGACGGACGGACGCACGGAGGCACGGATGGACGGAGTCCATTTTAATACCACCTGCAAAATGCGTTGTGGGGGATAAATATCCCACGCACAAAAATGCACTTCACAGTTTCGAATTCTGCGGGAGATTTCCTGTTTCTTGATACCATCCACTATTATTTTAGACAAAGCTTCAAGTGCTGAAAATGACCTTTCAAAATAGGCTTCATCGAAAATGTCACCATTTTTTACACAGTACGAAATCGCGATTCACAGCGTTATTTGCTGTATGTTTTGAAATGTGAAAATCGGATAATTACTGGGAGTATTGAATTTCAACATTAACACATTCATGATCACTGATATCAGTTTTACATGAAATCGCTAATGATAATTTTGAAACGTTGCCGATGAATCTAGAATCGGTTGGGATGTTTTTGAAAATACACTTACACGAACGCTGTAGAGCGCTTTCCGCCATATTGGATAGTGTTTACAAAATCACGTTTCTCGAAGGCTGGTATTGAGACGCCTATTACAGCACGTACATTTCATATTCAGCTGCGACAAATGCATCACTGAATTCCCCATACATTTTAGAATCAAATTACAAATGGTCTTTGTCACCAATACCAACTGTCCAGATAAACTGAGACAAAACATAATGGGTGTGAAAAAGAACGCTGTGCTCGAAAGACTGCGCCTGTTTGAAATGTAAACAAAGACAACTTCTGATTTTACACTGTGTAGCATTTTCTGAAATTTTCCAATATTCATCTGTCTATTCATTCATTTGCAATGGCTCAATACCTTTGGAATGTGCATGGAAAGAGTATCGTAGCCAGAAATAGGAAATTATAAATAGATACAATGCAATGATTATATAATTCAAGTTTCCGTTTAGCGTGACGCCATGACTGACGCAAAATCACGCAGAATGACAACGGTAATTATCTGCATTTCTGGCATCTTCTCTTACTTATAATGAAAACGATAAAAACATATAACAATACACAGATAGTCAGAATCATTCTGATTACTTACATCTCATATTTATGTACACACGATCCCTGAATCAATGGAAGGGTCCTTGCAAAATCCTGTGTACCCCTGTCAGCCAAGCCGCCCTTTTGTAAGAAATCGGTCAACGGTAGTGATGTCATGTCAACATTGTTGTACATATTAGGCAATTTCTTTGAGGTGAAGGCCGGTTGAACAAGAGTAAGCACAATCGCCCTATCCTTCCGATTACACTGTCAGTATTATGATGTATATTTTGCGTGTAGTAAGATATTTTTTCATGAAACTGACTTCAGTTTCTACATTTAGCCTTGTTCAATATCATATCATACGTGGATAAAAGGTTTACGGTGTTTTATTCTTTGAAAGCTTTTGATTATTTGAATAATATTTACATAAGAAATTGACACATTTAGTGCAGTACACTATGTTCTAAACCTTTACACAAGTGTTAGAAGATCAAACGTAGCCATAACTGCAACATGTACTTTAGATGTTATTTGTTTGTTTTTTGAATAAATTTTGTTTATGTGGCAAAAACAATGAGCGCACTATTTTGCACAGGCTCGGGTTACACACTGCAGGGTACTCACATTAAAGCATATGTGTAGTGTAATCTCTCCTTTGTTTTAAAGTGCACTACCCCCCGGTATTTGGCATTACACGAGTCAGCAGGATACCCTCTGACAGTTACAGCAAGTTATACATCGATTATTTTGCAATACTTGTCAAACCAAGGAAGGCGACTGTCCCCGTACACGTGGGCGAGCTTGG